TGGCCACGCTCGACATTCAAAAGTTTCATGAAACTCCCAGACATCCAAAATCATTTGCCCCAAATCATGAATGCAAGAAAATGTTGTCCAGGATTGTTCAATATGAAATGGTATTGTAATGCCAGCGAGCAGTCAGAGCATATGCAAGACCCGAGCAAAGTTTTGGAGGGTATGGCTGCGCTATAGCTGTCCAGTTTTCTCCCCCCGGCCCTTTGCCTGTAAGATGAAAATGTGGTTTGTGTGTAAACTCGCAACACCTGCGCCCAGAACACCGATGGTCAACGCGATGGAGATCATCAAGGGGAATATTGCCTGCTAAAATGTTGGTTCGCTTTCTCCAAATAGTTCCATAAGCACAAAAGTCGGTGGTCAGCAAACATGTATGCTCTGACTGGACCAACCTCTGCAAAAAAGGAAGATTCCAACACTTGGAACTGGAGGGGTTTTCAAGCACCCAAGGAATACTGTAGGCATCAAGTACACGTATGAGTGCTGCGCAACTTCTAAAGCAAGCGTTTCCGATGGCTATCTTTTGTTGCTCTGCTGGTGTCAAAAGTGCTCGAGAAACACCCCAAGGCTGTGAACATGTGCGGATCACTTTGGTGCGGTCCCGTGCAACTGAAAAACTGTCACAAGGCGGTGCCATCATCACGGCCAGCACTTTGCCATTTTTGACATCAAGGTGCAAGGCCCGGAGAACTTTGCGGTTGGTCAAATCACACTGGTGGCCATACTTGATGTCCCATTGGCGCGCGACAAAACCTAGCTTTTCGCACGCAGCTGCAACGCCACCTTTGCCCGAGAAAAGATCCGCTACGTATTGCCCTTTGCCAGATCTCTGAGGAAAGCAAAGTTTGGCGGCTTTCTGCGGCCGCTCACGACGTCCCCGAAGTGAGCCTCGCACTGAAGGCAAAAGTCCTTGGTCGCTCTTGGGACTAGCTCCCATGTCTTGGCAAGTCTGGCTGACTTCTCGTAGCGGGCCACGGATTTTGCTGTCTTCCACTGACCTCGCTTCTGAACCTCTAGGGGGGACCTCCAGTCTCGACTGCGGTCGATGCTCGGACCGCTGTGTCTGGTATGGTATGGCTGAAGAGCCAACCCCATTTGGCCCGAGGCCTTCTTGAATGCCGCCAAGTATTGGCCATAGTCGAAGTTCCACAGGCTTCTGCTTGGTTGGCCTTTCTTGAGCGCTTTGAAAGCTGTAGGGCCCCATCCCTTCAGGTAGGGGCTGTTCAGGGAGATCGAGACATCGAACTCCCCCGTCTTTGAAGGCACCCCATGTTCCTCTGCATTGAGAAGCACGCTCCATGAGCCCGTCACACCAGTTGCTGGCGGGACAAGACCAAATGCCTGGAGGGAAAACAGCTGAGAAGGGCGGCAGTATAGGTAGAGAGGCAAATCATCAGGAACACCGACATGAGAGGATATCCCATCTGCTTCAGCGTCACTGCCATCCCACACCACACTGCTGAAGGGTATGGAGTGCGACTGCGCCCTGGGCACAGCTTGCGCCACCCTTTGAGAGCCCGTAACGCCCGCGGCATGCGGCGAGATCCAGCTCGTCCATACTGAGGGTGGTGATGGATCCAACTGGCAATCAGCCTGTCCCCAACGAAGGCTTGGTGCCCATTTAGGAACTGGTGGTTCATGTAGTCGACAAGCGCTTGATCCACCTGGTCCGAGTTGTCGAGGTTGAGGAACCTGGGTTTTGCAAAGCTCATGAAACGAGCGTACTCGCTCTGGTAGATCTTCTCTGTGGCCATTCCGATGGCCTTTCGCTCCAACAGACTCAAGTGATTCATGTCCTTTCCTTCCAGCAAATAGTCGACATACTTCCTCCTGCGATGTTTGGCTCGGGAGTGAAGGAGTCTCTTCCTTTTGTCGGTCGGGCGGATCACATCTGAGCTGCTGTCTGAGCTGAAGCTTTCGTCCTCGTTCAATTGGTCTTCCCCCTCCTTGACCACCTCTTGCTCGAGTCTCTTGGCCACTGGAATTTCGACATGGGCGGTGAAGCTGGCTTCGCTGCTCATTGGTTTCAAGTGGCAAGTCGCCCTTGAAGTTCCAGTCTTCCCCGTCTCTTGTCCTGGCTCCAGGACCCGGATTCTCTTTGCAGTGCTCGGGTTCTTCTTGTCGGAGGGGATGGCCAGGTGCCGAGTGCGCTTCGGAGCCATCGTGGATAAGGTCGGTGAGGAGTTTTGAAGGTTCATCCGTATCATATCTTGAAGGTTCATCGGCGTTGTTCAGCTCGCTTGGCACCCATCTAAAACTAGGTTGAATACCACGACTGATACAATAAGCGTTGAAAATCCTAACTTGCTTCAACAATGTGTATCGACGGCTCCGGCTTCTCTCTAAAGCCAAAACAAGTGACATGTTGTCCAGCAAAAAGAGTTGACGCACGTTGCCCCCAAAAACACTCATTGCGACACGCTTCAACGCCATGACCGCTGCCCTCGCCTCAAGTGTCAGGATATCTTCCTTGTGCTTCCACTTTCCCCAGCGAACTGGTGTCCATTGGTCCTTGCGCAAAAAACGAGCAGGGACCTCTGGGAAGTCATCGACAAGTGCCCATCCACTCAAGCTCAAAAAATCATCTGATTCAATCTCCCCTGCTTTCCACTGACCCGTCAGCTCGTCTCTGACAAAGCCAGCGGATGTGAGTGAAGATTCTCGGGCAGAATGGTTTTGAGTTCTACGGAACCTTGACCTTTCTTTAACACGACCGACAGCTGCTACCTCAGACTTCTTCCAAAAAGATGTACAGACCCCAAAACCTGTAGTGCTAGCATCACTGCAACAAACAAGTTCGTTCCAGGGCCTCCACCAATCAGATCTCAAGAAAATCATCAGTCCAGCAAAGGCCTGCAACTCTTCAATCACAGAATCCCAGGCCACGGCTGCTTCGTAGTAATGCCGCCGGATAAATTTGTAAGTGTTGTGAAAAACTGCCAACAGCATCCTATTGTTTAGCCCACAAAAAGTTGCATGCCCGGTCACAATCTCAAGAGTCTGTCCCGAAAACTTCTTTCGCCGCAACAAACCCCGGATGGACTGTCGAACTCGATGAAACCTTTCAGGACTAACATGTGAACAGAGAGTTTTCCCATTTAGCACTGTCCCAAGCGCCTTGGTTCCACCACAGCTCACTTCCCCAGGATGAAGAAGTAGTCCAGTGGAGCCAAAGTGCCCATCTAATTCCTCCAGAGCTGTCGAGACAACTGCTTGATGAGGGGAAAGGACACCCAAATTATCCACATACACGTAATGCCGAATACCTTGACTGTCAGAGCCCCTGCAAGCCTCACTTTTGAAAACAACTGGTTCTCCTTTGTCTTGGATGAGGGTGGAGCATGCCAAAGTTTTTGTAAGGCTGCATTGGAACTCATTGATCTTCTGGCTAAAAAACAAAGACCAACTGAACCCCATACACAATGAACCTGGCATAGGGTAAACGATGTCATTGGCTTTCAGCTTCTTCCCATCCAAATTCTGTCCTTGCAAGCCCACCCAAGAAGCCCGGATAGGCTTGAGACAAAAATACTCTGCTAACCACTTCGGTTGCCGCAGTCTATGGAAGCAGTCCTTCACATCGCTCAGCCCAATGTGAATGTTCAGGCTTGCGAGCTCTGCCACGAAGTCGTCTGTTCCTGGGAGAGCGGATGGCGACAGCTCACACTCAATGCGGCTGAATCCTTCGCTCGAGCACAATTCAACTCCTGGAGGTTCCTTAAACATCACATTGGTGGACCTGGCGTCAATAATAAGACGTATTCGTTTCCCATCGCTTTTGTGGACAAAAAACAGGCCTACCTGGTTCTTAGGAGACTGTGTGTACTGCAGGAGCCCGATGCTGTCGAGCTTCCTAATAAACTCCTTGTAATGTCGTTTGCTCCTGGCCAAAACAGGATCCCAGTACGGAGGGGGGGTCTCATCCGGCTGGTCATCCCTAAGCATAAGCTCTTTACCTTCCAAATATCGACGGGCGTCTGGCGGCAAGAGGTCCACTGCATCGGGTAACCCATGCAAACTCTCTGGCAGCGAGACACGCTCGAGGCTGTAAGGCGCGAGAGCAATAGGAGCGGCTGACTGCTGATAGTCAGAACGCCCCTTGAGCAGCTCCGCAAGGGCTGCCTCAGGGCTCGGGATTTTGTCAAAGCTCCCGATGTCATTGGTCATGTTTGCCAAAATTTGAATTCATTGAAGCACCTCTTGTTGTAGTGAATCAGGCGCCCCATCTGTACCATGCAAAAAATCACTCTTTCCAGCAAGCCAGTTGAGGCCTCGGATGGCCTCATTGGTGGTCTCACGAACTCGAATCTTGCGATCCCATCGCTGGGCTGACCTCCGAGATAGCTTCACATCACGTGTCAATCTCGGCAACTCAGGCAGTGGAAAAAGATCACGAGCTCTCTTCGAATGTTCCGGCCTGCCACCTCCCAATGCTGCGAGCTCAAGGTGATCGGCCTGGGAGGACAGCCAACCACCTTTCCTTGCGCTCATGAGGAGGCCGGTGGAGCGAGGGGCTTGGCTTTTGCCTTTCGTTTTGGCGCCAAGCCAGCTCCACCGGCTGCCATGCTTCCATCTGCTACAGCTCCTGCGGCCTCATCCATTGGGACAGCCAACTTCTTGTACTCACGGATTTTGGTCCTTGCTGCGGCCAGTTCCACCTCCTCTTTGCCTTTCCGGGCAGCCCACGATCGAAGTGATGGCATCACCACATCTTCAGGGCCAGCGTAGCCCGAGATGATCTTTGCTGCCCCCCAGTCTGGGGAAGTGGATGAGCCGCTGTTGTAGGCGTCCACTATGCTCTGGACGCGCCGACCTACTGATTCCATGCTGGCAAGGCTGGTCAGGTTGAGCTGGTCGTAGCAGCCCCCATGTTCGAGGACTTCCATAAGCGCTCGCATTTCATGCATCACACGATCATTCTCTTGTATACCCTTGAAGCGCGCCCAGGATTGAAGCCATAGCTTTGGAGAGCCCCCATGCTTGTGCATGTGTTTTATCAGATGCAGCACGCTCTGGGGGCCTTCGTGAGGCCAGTCTGGGTAAGCATATTCTCGACACTCTCTGCACACATCGCGCCACAGCTTGAAGCGCTCACCTTGGTCATCGTATTCCACAGCAAGCGTTCGGGCATCTTCTGCTTCCTGCACCTCATCTCCAGGAGCTGCCGGCTTCTGATCCGGCTCTCCAGCAACTGGCCCAATGTCTTCCTTGAGAGAGGCACGGTTCTTCTCGCGGAGCTCTGACACAAAGTCGGGGGATTCAGCGACCTTCACTAGCTTGCACAAAGTCCAGCCCTTAGGGCCTTCCACTGCGCAAGTATTTGGACTGAGCAATACCGACTGCGCAAGACTATCAACAACCTCAGCGCCCAACTGAAAGTCCGGAGTTGAGTGCATGGCTAACCAAACCTTTCCAGCTGGGGCTGCATCAGCCCTCTGAGGTCCACGGCCTCGTTGCGACTCCTCTTGTTCAACTGGCAGCTGTAAGTGGCCTTGGTCCCTGCCTCGAACCCTTCTTGGGACCAACAAACGTCCCAAGTATTCGGTTGCCTCCACCTTGTCCCCATTCATGTTCATGGCATGTCGTGGTTGCCAACCCAGGTCAGTCCTTCCAAGCAGCCCCAAGTCTCTCAAGGCAGTCTCAACATGCTGCTTGAACTCGGAGTCGGTGGGGTATTCCCTAAATCTGTAAACCGGTCTGCGAACCCTGGAGAAGAACTGGAAATCTACCCCTTTCACCTGAAAAGTCAAAGGGCCATTGTCAGAATCACCGGAGTAGTCCTCAGCATAGCAGTCTCCATCGGGGGTCAAAACATACCAAGTCTTGTCATCTACCCTCCAAACCAAGAGTCGTTCATGGAAAACATCATCATCAGAGTACCAAGCAAGCACGGTCTGCCCTGGCAGGCATCGTGACAACACCTCCTCCACGTCGTCTCGGGCTTTGGAAAGGTTCATGAGTCGAAGAGCGGCTGGTCCAAATGCACTGCCAGCAGGTCAAGGCGAGAAGCCCCAGAGCAAAGCCAACTAGAACACCTGGTAGGGCCTTGTCTGTTCCCTCACACTGACAGTCACACTGACACCAACAGGTATGGTTCGACGAACAGGTAGGCAACGGAAGATCTGGGTATCGGGGGTAGTGTTTGAACCCAGCTTCCAAGATTCGAGCGACCCACAACAACGCGAGGGCACCCGTACCTCCCATTGCGGTGCCTACCTCCCCCTTCGCATCTTGAGCCCACCACCCATGTGGAGGAGCATATGGTGGTGAAACACACGTCATCCCAAGTGAACTGTCATCTTTCAATCTTCATGTGAACACACGTCCAGGTACGACGCGACCCGGTCGGACCTTCAAATCGGTCGGACCCGAGGATCTCGGGTCGACCGGGGTCGAACCAATCCTTTTTGAGGGACCGGTTGGACTGTGTATGAACGATTGACCTACTTTGACCCTAAGCCAACCCCATGTAGGGAATATATGTGGCCATACATGAAGTGTCTGGGACCAGGTACCACCTGTGGATCCTGTCGGATCAACCCTCACGATGTGCAATTCAAATTCCTGACATAGAGAACAGCAAAACACAGGCCAGCAGTTCCAAAGGGGCGCGATCCATGGAGGATTAGGGGTACCCTACCCTTATCCACGCACTTGGAAAATCCTTTGGAACTGCTGGAGGATGTTTTGAATCAACATGATTTGAGCCATGAACACCGGACAAACTTCTGAAACGATCGGTTTGGAACATGCCATGTAAGTTTGTAGGCGATGTGTGGCACAATGTAGTGCAATTCCTTTGCTGCAAATACGCAAACAAACTGCTTATACTGTAGATCCGCTGCTAATCATAAACTGTCCTGGGCTGAATGTACATAAGTTGCATAAGTCTTTCTGTGGCAGTCGCAAAAGTTGTGTATTGCAATTCCAGGGCCAAATAGAGGGTCGACCTTGATTTCTGTCCACACCCTGGACAAATCTGAGTTGTAAGATCTATTCCCTTCCCTAACTCTTCAGAAAGGCTGTTGATGCCCGGTGAGTCTTGGGTTAGATCTTGATTGAGTGAGTTGTTTTCTCACTCCGAATTCACCGGCTTCACTCGGTGGCCTGTCAGACCTCCAGACCTCCCAGACCTCGGTCGGTCGGTCTTGTCTCCTCCCACCTTCGACGGCTCATCGGGCAACCTTAGGACGGAGCCCATGGCGGCTCTCCCTCGGAGCAACGCACAAGCAGCTACTGGTGGTCCTCCCTCAAGCTGAAGACTTGAGGTGGCCAAGCGATTTCTGAACCTCTGGGAACCTGAACCTTACTTCATACATATGACCGTTTTCTTTTTTTGTTCGACTCAAGTGGCTTTCTGATCATTCTAAGGCAAACCAAACAACAGTGATTGGGCCACATGCCAGGCCATGAGGTGATGCTTGCCACCTATCCTGGCATGATGTCTCATGTCGGTCCCCGGACAGCTATAATGGTGGATAGTCTTGAGCTTTGGCTGGGAGCAACCACGACGACCCTTCCTTGAACAAGCATGCAACTCTTCTCAGCACTTTTTCACATCTGAGATGAAAACTGCTGCGAAACCACCGACTGCTTCATGTCCAGATGAGCTTTGAGATTCGTTTTCCCCCCCCGACACAAAACGTCCGAACGAATTCATTCGATGCATCGCCACACCAACGAGGTGTTGGGGGTGAAGTAGGTGGGTGGAGCGTCCGTTCAGCGACGGCAATCCTGGGATCAGTCTGTTGCGATGACAGTCCAAGCTGGTTGGAGCTTTACTGCTTCCTAGCACTTCCCAGTGGATCCAGCTATCACTGTCGTCGCAAGACTAGTAACTGCCAATAATTCCAACAAGTGCATCTATATATATATATATATGGTCTATTGCTTTTAAATTAGCTTAACATATCCTTTCTCTATCTGTCTCCACTTGGTGATTCAACACCAAAACAATCAAACACATCAACCCCTGAGAACTCCGGTTCAACTGGGGGCATCCGAACAACAAATCAAACCCTCAAACCTTCCCCAGCAGGACTCCATCCCCCTATCCTTCCCATCGCTGTGATTCGATTCCTTCACACCTTGCCAGGCCACAAGCGCCACAGCAGGCTTGCCGCCCGCTGGCGCGCCGCGCGGTCCCGCAGAGCCTTCGCCTCGCGACGTCGTTCGACCCAGCGACTTCATGTATCCCGAGGGATCCAGTCGTACCTTCTCCTCAGGTTCGGTACGACTGGACCCTCCTGGCACCTACATAACAGTGTCGAACACATCACCGTACCTGAGAAGCTACTTGGATCCCTAGGGTATGGTATATTGACCGCCCCATTGGGGTGGTGCCGGGTCTGGCTTGATCGGCATGACAGACATGGAGTGTCTGGGATATGTCTGTTATCTTTGGGCTGGTTTTATATAGATGAAAAGGCATACATGTTGCACACTTGGAAGATCCATAGGATGATCTAGGTCTAGGTATAGATACACCAGATGTTCATCCTTCTGAAAAAGAAACACGGTTGTCGCTGTATAGGACATGTACAAACATATATGACATTGTAAGTGCGCTGAATGTTGGGTCGTTGCACAAAGTGGGTTTCCAATTGAAGACCTGGTGCTTTGCCCTGAGGAAACTAACAACCTGAATCATCCAACGAAGAAACGATTGCCTTTCGCAGGCGAATGTGTGGAAATGGAAACCATGACTTGGTGGAATAGAGCCAACCTGTGCAGAAATGGTGTGATTGCCGAAATGGCACCCCCCAACGACCAATTGGTTGAAGTCAACTATTTACTCTTAACTAGGAGCCACAAAGGGGTGGTTTTTAGTCCCATCCAGGGGCCGTGAATGTGACGTGACAGGGGCACTCTGACTTCCTCCGTTGGTTCGGCGCCCCGGCTTCCTGTGACTTACTAAACTTACTAAACTTAATATGAACACTCACTTTCCCCAGACTTCCAAGACCATTGAGAACATGTTTGACCTGGTTTTGTGGTGTAAAATCCTTAGTTGCTTCGGTCAAGCCTATGAAAATAACGGGTGCCAGTAAGCCTAGGGTTTTGTAGAGCTGGATCCTTTGGGTTGTAGATGTTGGATAACATGATGAGCGGATGAAGGGCAACAGCATGGCACACACTCTGCGTACTAACGGGGTTTAAGACCCCTTCAGGCTCACTGCCACCAGGACCATGGATGCCTGGTTCCAAGTGAAAGTGAACACACTAGGAGCCTTTCTTAAACCCAGTGTCGTACTGTGGTCTACAACCTAAATAGCTTTGCCCATGCACTCAACCCTGAACAGCTTGGGTGTCAACCAGCATGTTCTTCCGCACCACGCCGCATGGCCGTTCACCCGTGCCGCACCTCACCACCCAGGCGTTGCAGCAACCAACTCAAGAGCTCGGCGGAGCCACCGGCCTGGCCGGGCATATATATGCTGATCCATTGAACCCCCAGTCAACCACCCCAATTGATCGGCAGATATTATATGGCAGTCCCATTAGTCGTGTCTGGGAGAACATGAGGTGGGGCGGTGACGTGATTCTGAGAGAGTCGAACACCCTGTTACTGAGAGAGTCGAATATGAGAGAGTCTGCTCGTGGCGGTCGTAGCCTCTGAGGCGGATGAGGCACCCTTGGAGAAGTGGAATGACAAAGCTATAGAATGCATAGCAAGTGGTGGATGAAGATCTCGCAGTGAAGGGGTCTATTGGCTGTAGGAAATGACTGGCCTCCCAACTACCATCTGATCTCTTAATCACCCAAACCTGTGAACTTCGCAAAGAAAGCAAACACATAACAGAATATACTGGTATAGCTGTAGAATATATAGCAACAGCAACAACAAAACCAATACACATATTGAACAAACAAAAAATAAAACAACTATAAACGACATAAGTTAATTCTGAAATGGCTCTGTGGATGAAATAGCTCTGGTTATTTTTCAAATAGCTAAGTGAGAATAACAGAGGCCAAATCAAGAGGCCAACCCAGGTCTTAAGACATACAATGCCAAAGAACACACGAGAAAACCGACGGTGCATCAACGGACAACGGGTCCACGGAGCGGTTCCGCCTCGTCTGCGGCGGTGGCCAAGAGGTCCAAACAGCCATCCACCAAGATGAAGCTGGATCGACAGTCTCCGGAGCAGAGGATCGCCTTCGACAGTCTCCGAGTGAGGCAAAGATAGATGGGTTCATCTCCCAGACACGAGCTGGGACTGGGACTAGCAATATGCAGAACTATTGACCCCGACTTCAAGCACCCCCACCCCAATGGGGCGGTCAATATGCCAGTCCCATTAGTCGTGTTTGGGAATTGGGGAACCCAGAAGTCACAAGCAGGGTGGTTTCTATAGTCACTATAGTCCTTGAGGTGGATGATGGGCCCGACTTCCTCCGTTCGTTCGGCACCCCGTCGAGTCCGTGACTCGTTCTTTTCTCCTTTGAAACGCGGCTAGTTCGGCCGAGCGAGCGTTTCTCTCCAGTACATGTTCATGCTGAGCCTCAAAACCACCCTTTCCACCTCGTCAGACTCGACCTGCTGGAACTATCGAAACATATCCATGTGGCCAGGGCATCGTTCAACCGTCAATCCATGTCAATCCTTTCAGGACTTACAAAGTGAGCACCAAGAAACACGTACCAACACGCAGCATACCGTATAGGTTTGACATGGTTTGACGGTTTGACATAGAAACTTGCAACAAATGACATGGAATATCTATACAGAGTGATTCGGCCAAAAAGCCCCGAAACACATACAGCACTTATGGCTCTAAGCCCTTCCGCAAAGCTGTGGCTCAACTCTTCTCAAGGATGTTTTCTCAATGGACCATAGGGTTGGATCCGACTCATCCTTGTCTTTGAAGACTGCTCTTAGACCCACCTATATATTAGATGTTACTAGCCAGCAAATCCACTTACCACTCCAAACACGTATCGAAAACTATGCCGACATGAAGCCCCCAACTGATCGGCGATCCGAATCCCGGGGTCCTCCATGGCATGGGTCGGACCCCTCAAAACCCTATATGTGTTTGAGAACCCGGATTCTTAGGCCAAGCACAATCACAATCAACATGTTCTCCAGATGTACTAAATCATGTTGACTGTCCGTTGATTAATAACTAAAACAATAATCAACATATCAGATAATCAACATGTGAAATATTATGAAACCATTCTGCCCCAACCTCAAAACATACAAGAACACCAAACGTACATGACATTCTCTCTCCCTTCCACTCCACTCCACTCATTTGCCCTCCGAAGTGTCCATAAAAAGATCCTGTCTGTAGCTTCCCTCTCCCGGTCTGCAGCCGCTCCCGCCTCCGCGCAGCCGCGCAAGGCCTGCTGCAGCTCGGCCACCCCGTAGCGCTCCGCCGCCGCGCGGAGCCGCGCCAGGGCGCCCAGCGGCTCGGCGGCGCCGCTGGCCTCGTCCGAACGGCACCGGAGCGGGGACGGAGCGGGGACGGTGGGAGTGCGTGGTGAGGGGCAGTGAAGGGGTGGTTCCGGGGTGGAAGGCTTGGACCTGGACTTATTTTGGAAACTAAGTGCGTGAAGGGGCAGCAGTGAGGGTGGAGCATGTGGTATTTTTGGCCTTTTTTGGGGGGAAGTCCTCAGGACCGGGAGCAGAAACAACGGTTTGCAAACGACGTCCAAATGTTCCGTTAGAAGGCGTAACTCGGCGTGACCTGGTGTTTTGGCACAGAAAGATTGAAACAACACATTCTCGGAAAATTGAAAATAGAACAAGTTGAGTGAACTCACAGGAACCCAGTGTTGGGAAGCTGACATGATGTGTTCCAGCCTACTCTGGGTGGTTTTGTTGGACATCGGGATAGAAAAAGAGTCGCTGCAAAACTTGAAACGACCACCTCAGTCAGATCCAAACACCAAACGCCGCTGGTTGTTGAGGACACCCGGGGATCATCATGGTTACGTGGATGGCATGGCCCCGCAAGGATGATCATCCTTTACAAACAAATGGTTTTCCTGCTCCATGATGGTTGCAGGTAGTGTACATGTTTTTTTTTTTTGAGGTCATTGGATTCCAATAAACATTGCAACCAACATCAACCAACCACGTTCCCATATCAACTGCACGATCACGTGGAACAACATTGGACCGCATGCAAATAACATCCTACAACCCGAATACATTGAAAACACCACATTCACAGGTGTTCCAATACAACACCATTCGCACGCGCACAGCATCAACGTGGCGCCTCAAAAGTACTAAAGACCTGAAAGACGTCCGCGGTGCCTGGGCCGACGTTGGGACATCCGGGACATTCATGCAAACCTCTCGGCGGCTGACATCAGGACAAGTACCACAGATTCTTGATATACATTGTGAGTTTGTAAGTTATAGTCTATAGTCAATCAACCAGGCACCCGTGCCAAGAGACTCTACCACAAAAAACCGATGGTGGCCAACGCGTGCTTTTTGTTTCTGAGCAGAACACATTCACCAGTGAGTTGGCTCAAGGTGATGGCCACCTCGGTCATCTCGGCCTGGCGGCATTGCTCCACCCACCAAGCGTAAAGCGTAAACCAACAAAACAAAAACCGCCAAAACCACCCGGAAGATCGAGGGTATTTGGATTGTGGATCCCTGTATGAATATTGGCAAGGTTGGGAAGCTGGGTTGGTGCATTTTCAATGTGCAGGATGTTTGGTGCGAAAAACTGCGCAGATTTGTTCGATCACATGTGGTGAAAGTGGTGTTGCGCACACACAAATCAAAATGGTCCAGGTTTGCAAAAATGCGCTGCGCAAACCCACAACCCCAACGATTAACTTGTCTGAGCAAAGGTACACACCGTGGCGAGGTCACAACATGGCAAAGCCAAACAAGCCACCTGACAACCCAACTTCAAGTGTTTTTAGTTGCATTTCCAAGCAAAGCCCTGAGAACTAGCTCCAGCAGGAAAAGCCGGCAGATCCAGATGATGGAGTTCTCAGTCCTGAGCTAACTTGCTTTGGGCTTGCAGTTAGTCTAGCAAAGTAGTTGTGAGCAGAGCTACCCACAGCGGTAGGCATGAGACAAAGCCCCCTCTACCACAACTCACACTTTCCAAAATCCATATCACGTTGATAGCAGTGTGGCGCCTTCTGCTTCTTCCTGAGCCTCTTCTTGGGCATCCGAAGAACCTGGAGCACGGCACAGGCTGCAACCGTGTGACTGTCAACCATTGAAGCGGCTGCCCCGCGCTGCAAAGCACCTGGAAAGTACAAAGGAAAGCCACGTGAATGAGAAGTTGTTGCCCAACTCTACTGGTTGCGCATATTGCCTGGCACCTTAGGCGAGAACATGTCAACTTCCCTGACATGAATCTTTCACATCATCAATAGACGGCAGCCATGTTTTCGCACAGGGACCGAAGGATGATCAGTAAGAAAGCGCCTCGGCCAATTTTAGGTCGCAACAATTGCTGCTTCGCAATGGCAGCTAACCTCTGAATCGAAGCTTTTTAAGGCTGCCCCCCAAAAATGGCACCCGTAGTACAAGTAAGCATTTTGCAGAAAACAGCCCATTAGTCTGATGAGCACCCTCACAAATCATGACAAGTCCACTGCAGAAGTTGGCCACTTGGGCAACCGGTGGCCACTGCAACCCAGAGATCACTAAGCTTTTGGGACTTTCACGTCCGGGGTCCAAGACATATCTGGGGTCCAAGGGCAACATCTCACCCAGCCGTCTCTCATGTGCACCGGGTCAGTCGGATGACGTGGTGATTTCTCAGCGTTCCTGACCATGAGTGACCTTTGAATTGACCACTAGCCGCAGTGGGTTTAAATACACTCCCACAGAAGAAACAGCTGACGTGATGTAATATGCAAGTTTTGCATGGCGCCTATGTTTGGAATTATGTTCCTCTATGAACGGGCCTTGTCCACTTCCATGTTTCTTTCCGCCTGCATGTGGGGTTGCACTCTCCCAACAGGGAGTCGCACGAGCTCTCTGCTTACATATAGTGGATTAAGAGTAAATGCAGAGGTTCGATGGCGTAAGTTACCCCAAGGTTTGGTGGTAAAAAATGGACCCCCACCGGTCTAAGACATGTTGTGGTGCCAGTGCTATCTACCCTGTCTGAAACCACTGGATAGTTGAGCACCGACCACAGGAGTGGCTGCCGCCCAAGTGGATTATCCAGTTCGCAAGTGGGCGAGTAACTGGCGGAACGGTGCCAAATCAACATCGGCATCACCAACGGAACAGTCAATGAAGCACGTTGCATCCTTTTCATTCATCTCCTGTTCTTTACATATGTTCGCACACCTTTTTAAACGTTGATGGAGACTTGCTTCGAGAGTCCGCATGTTTGTCCACTTGATTGCAGTCCGGACCACAAAGCATCCGAACAATTGAAAAACAACACACCCAGAAAAAAAAAAAAAACACACACAGATGAACGCAAGCAAACGGAAGGTTTGCTCGAAGAGACCACCAGAACCGTGCGCGCAGCCTTCTTTCGAGCTCGTGCTGAAGCACCGACCCCGGTCCAGTGTGTCAGGGTGTCCCACAGCTTGAAAACCACTCGGTCCGTGTCCGGAGGAAGCAGCTAAGCTCGTTTTTTCATTCTTGCAGGTCTCATATTCAGGTTCCAACAAGGGGTCTCTGATCAATCCAAAACGGCCTTCTTCTCAGGTGCCAAGCAGGTCCCAAGCAAGCCAATCCGGATGCGGATGCGATCGGTTTTAGAAGGACCATTCATGTGGTTTTCCCCTTTCGGCCTTCGAAAGTTACAACCTGCTTGGCCCCGAAAAAAAAAAAAAAAAAACTCACCAACGACTCTGAATCAGCAACGAAGTACACCTCGTCCGCATGGCCCATTGTGTGCCCCATGTGCCCCTCGCGCATGTGGCAGCGAGGGAAAACGGATGTCCTCCACATCGATCCCCCTCTGTAAAAGGACAGACCTGGATGACCCAACTATGCAAGCTGTATGCCATCTGTCATCTAAATTCACTAGCTTATCTCCAAAAAGGAAACCCCACAAACCTTGCCTGTCCATCGGAATCCATCATACTCCGGCCGCTAAGGCTTAAGTCGATAAGAACACATCCCAAAAAATTGCCAAGAAAGATCCATCTTGATGTTGAGTCCCTTGTAGAGATGGATCTTTTTTCTTGAGTCCCTTGGATCCTTGCACATGGATCCTTCGCCAGGCCCTATTCAACACTCATCAATCATCCTGTTCGCAGGGTTTGACTGGTGGAGCCGACATGGACCGCCGGAGCTCGAACCGATGGTGTGAAGCCGTTTGCGTTCGCCGTTCAGACTGTCCCCGTTTTGCCGTTCCTGCACTCTTTCAAGTCTTTGAAACATGCTAAAGCCATAAATACTCCTTTAAGTCTTTAAGTCTTCAATTGCAAATCCAAACTTCACTTTTAGCAACCCAATGTCCGTCCCTCTTCGACTTCATCTGCCTTACTCAGCTGCAAAGGCGGTGACAGCGGCACCAGCGCCGTACACCGCGGCGGCGTGGGGCCGCAGTGGCGTCGCTCGTTGACGCGGCGCTGGGCGACGAAGGAGAGGAAGCGGCCCTCGCCGGTGGAGGATGCGGCGCGTGAGAGGCTGCAATCAAAACACAGGGTGTTTGATGTTGTTTTTGAGCAGTTGAAGAGAAAACAAGATGTATTTTGATGATTTAAACATGTTTTAAGGGGCTTATATTGAGGAAAGGATACACAGATCGAGTTCCTTTTCGATTTGCCCTTTAATTACTGATTTGGTGGAAGATTAAAAAACAGAACAGCACTACCCGGTACACTTGCGACACCACGGTCGACAGAGCAGCGCTCTTGGAAACTGTTAGGGAAGAGGGACAAACAACGAGTCAGGCTACAGCTGCCACGTGTGTGCCGACCTGAAGAAAACAACAACAGTTGAGCTAGAAGTCAACCGCCTCTTTTGCAAAAAACAACATACTTGAGGATCAATAACATCAGTGTCATGGTAGGATCTGCCTTGTTCGCCCCCTCCATGGTTCTCTTGGTTCCATCGTAAACGCCAAAGAAGTCTCCATCTGAAGGCATCAAAGTCCGCAAAGCATTGGACGACTCAAACCTCTCCAGTGTGGTTGTGCCATCCACACATATGTCCTTGTAGGGTGTGTAGCTCTGACAGCACCATTTTTGGTCGGCTTCCTTCAGCTTGGCCACTCTGCCTGAGACACTGAAGTCTTAATCGATCTGGTCACCAGCTGAGTCAAAGAAAGCTTCATCCTCTGCCCTCCCTCTGAGCCACTCGCTGTCGCGCAGCAACTACTCGGCAGCAAACAATCTAAGAGCCACAACTGGCCAGCAACCGACTGCCTCCCTGTCGTAGGCGCCATGTCTTCCATCAAATACGCAGAGCGCGTCACGGCAGGACGTGAGGCTTGAGTCCCCCCGGTTGTAGTGCCTGAATTGCTGGCTGCTCACGAACGAAAAGACCCATGCGCAGTCCCAGCACAGAACCGACCTCCAGAACATGCTGGTGCTCCTTTTTCAGAGCAGTGTGTCACCTCCATTCGCAACACAAACAGTCTGACCATCTGAGTACACAGCCCCCAAGGCCCACAGTGAGGCCCATGGCCTTGTTCGGAAAACACAGCCACCCCGGCCACGCTTGCGCGTTTTCTTTTCCGTGGCAATGAGACCTCACACTGGGTGGGACTATTGCCTCGTTTAACACCCCCCCTGCTCGCGTATGGCCTCCGCACAGCACTTATGTCAACATCTTGCCTGGCGTAGTGACTAGTGCTTCTGCCAATGCTTCGGCAGCCTCTTTGTCACCAACCAGAGCTGCATTCGAAAGCAACGAAGCCATTGTGACGTAAGAGTAGCATGGCGTCAAGATTCGGCCTTGCGACATGCTGAAGTCAAGCACTTCAGTTGCTGTTGAACTTGCTGCAGCTGCCTTTTGGCCGTGTTCTTTTTTGTACCAGGCATCACAAACAGTCTGATGCTGAAGTCCTCACCAGTGAGCTTTCCTCCCCTCTTGGCCATGGCGTCCATCATCATGAGGTGAGAGAAAGTTGGGGCACGCGTCGCATTTTGCGGCCTTTGAGTTATTTAATGACCCATTCGAGTCAGAACCACATGAGCGATGTAAGATAACACAAGTTGGGGCAAGCAAGAGAGCTGTGATTCGGGAGTCCCACCTACGGCCTTGTGCAGCATCAAAGCCGATTCGAATGTGACTGTCGCCCAAGCTGTCATCGCATCTCCAGCTGGTATGATTGATGCTCGGCTCGTGGCAACCATTGCCTGCATGCGCTCGGCAAGCGTCATGTACAGTCTCTCAGGCACAGTGCGAATCTTCGCAGAAACACCTAGTGACTTGCTAAGCATGATCCCATACGCCATGTAAGGGACACAAGAAGGGAGACAAAAAGGAACAGAAGGCAGACAACACGGACACAGTGACCAACAAGAAGGGAGACAAGACCGGACACAAAGGGAGACAGAAGGAAGACAAGACGGACACAATGACCAACAAGAAGGGAGACAAGGGAGACAAGAAGAGAGACAAGGCAGACCCAGTGACCAACGAGAAGGGAGACAAAGGGAGACAAGCCGGATGGAAGGCGGACACTCTTAGAAAGCATTGAGACCCCCAACAGTATCCTGTTTGGGGAAAAACTACAGGCCAGGAACTGACCTGACCTCATTTGATTGGAGTTGATGATCATCATCAAAGCACTGCTCAATATACTCAGTTTGAGCTTTTCAGGACCACGAACGAGACTGGACTTTGGTCGGACTGGACCTATAGGGAAAGATTTACACTGCCTGGAATCCAACATGGAAAATGATTTATAAATGGTCCCTTCGAATCCAGTGTTTCCTCTACAAAACCTGCCTTTTTCCACTTCCATGATTATTCCAGGGAGTGTATAGACCTACCAAAACATACCACCACCATGTCCCTTGTTTCCATCTGTTTCCCCATGTCGGGTGCCAGTGCCGAACCAAAAACCGATACCAGCCTTTGGAGGGCCCGGGCTCCGCAGCTCCTGGGGAGTGGAAGACCGGGCCGGGGTGAAGCAGAGCTATACCCCTTCGGGCTCCAGTCGTAGCTCCGAAACGATACGGTATGACTGGACCCGAACATGGCACCTACAAAAACCCCAGTCCCTCCTTAGAAGGTACGACTGGAGCCCTATAGGGATAGGAAACCATTCTTGGACTACCTGCGAACTCGTGAGTGGATGGAACTCGGAAAGCCTGTCTCGTTTGAACTCAGAAATCGTCCGTCAGGCTTGTCCTTATCCTTCCGCCAATAGTGGTGAAGACCAACAAAGACATGAAAGAGAGTCAACCGCCAAAAAACGGTGAGGTAACAGGCCTTTAGGGTCTTAGGGTCCTTCAAGTGTATAAGAAACACATTCTAATGCCTCCTAATCCTGCATAACGCAGGTTTTGGACTTAGAAACCTTCACCTTTGAAAGTTCAACTGTCTTTTGAACATATTCTTTCTGCAAATCCCTGTTATAGTCGGGCGTGCATATATGTAGAAACCTGAGAAGCTGCAAAACGAAAGCCAGCGCTTCCCCTTTTCGCCAACTGCGCGTCGAAGCAATCAGAGAAGAGGCAGTGCTGCAAGGCCGGAAAGAAAGCAGGGAGCGACAAACACGTGTGGAGAGTGAGGGGAAGTAGGAGTGAACATGTTCCGTCCGTGAAGGGGGTTCGGAGGTTTAGTCTATAAATTCATGAGGTAGTGTGGGCACCATTCGCAAAAGTGCTGTTGTTGGGTTTCTTCATCAGTACGTCAATGGAGACATTAGAGCTTTTGCATGGCCTCTGGCGTGTATTTCGTGTGTGGTGTCTCATTGCGGGTAGTTTCGTGACGGCCAACTTCGGACATTGGAAGTCTCTCTTCCTCTTGAAAGTTACATGTCTATCCAAACGTCTTTAAAAGCACTTGAGGATCCCCAAGAATTTCGAGTTCATGACCCCAATGCGGACTGACTGATCCTTCCCAGAGTACGCCTTATTGAAAAGATTCAATAAGGAACCATCATTTCAATAAAGCAATGCCATTTCAATAATTTGATCACTGTTATTGAAACAGACTTCTTACTGGTTTATTGAAACAACACAATAAGATCTTATTGGTTTATGATTTAAACCAATAAGGGCTTTTATTGTTTTAAAATATGAACCAATAAGGGCTTTTGTTGGTTGAAAAGTTTGGTCAGTTGAAAAATGTCTCATCCCAGCAAGCTGCAAATGTCTCATCTTTTCTCCTGTGTTTGCCTGCTCTTTGGCAAGGTTTTGAAGCCCTTTTGCAGGGCCAAGGTTTGTGGCCTGTTTTCAGGCTAAACTTTTGGCCCTTTTGCAGGTCCAAGCCCAGCTCAACCACTTCATGATTCCTCAGCAGAATCAAGCAGTTCCATACTGCCCATGAACTTCAAATGCATTGACAACCTGAATCGAAGAGCAACTTTGAGAGGGACTTGGTGAGGTGCTGTCCCATTCAGGCAGCAATGTGCCAAGGAACTCATCATCCCCACCATAGTCTCACCAGAATATGTGGTTTGAAACCTTGGATTCATCCACCTGCCTTGCTCTGCCAGATGACAGGCTAAATGGTGTTTGTGCACTGTCGACCACTGCAAAGAGCCTGAAGCTATGGACAAATTTGCAAGTTTCACATAGTGCAAGAGGCAGCTGCTTGTGCATTTCAACAATTGTTGTGAGGCCTTGCTTGTCATGTGGATGTGACAGCTCTCCATTGCCAAATACATCCTTTCCAAATTGTCAACCACACAGACCCTGTGCCTGCTATATGGATCATCAGGCTTCTCCATCTCCCTCACAATCTCTAAGATGCAGGGCACTAAGTACCTCAGGTGCCTTGCCTTGACACCTGACATCACAGGAAAACTGTCCTGCTTGGATTTGGGGTTGCAAAAGCTGGACATAGTCAATTTCCTCACCTGGTTGCTGGAGGAAATCCCCTGTTCAAGATATTGCTGGCAAAGCTTCTTCCAAAGATTCTTCAAGTTCTGATCCTGCGAGGATGGCCCCTTGACCACAAAGTCAAACATGCAATTTGCAAGGATGTGTGATGCCACACCCTCCTCAAGAATGTGTAGACAATCATATGCAAATGTGTTCCCCACCACACCTGGGATGGTGGTCACAAGATGTGAAGTGGGCTGGTGCCACAATGGCTTACTACAGTAGCTCGCCATTTTGCATTTGCACGATAGTCATTGTGTGGTCTGTCACTCTTGTTTGCTTGGCAAGACCAGCAGCAATCATTGAAACTGTGACCTGGCAGAAAGAATGAGTTCTGCATGTATTCACCGTCAGCTGTGATGGACCAAATAACACCAGAATAGCCATCAGGGTTGAGTGGTGATCCTGCTCTGGCCTTCCTCATTGATTTCTGTGGCCAAGCCCTGCCAGCATGATCAAATTCAGGCCATTTTCCATAGTATATGTGGGTGAAGGACCATGCCAAGACCTCCCACAAACATCTCATAGTGTCTTCTGAGTCCTTGTCACTTTTGCTGATGCAGCTTTTGGGGACTGCTGCAAGCAGCAGCTGACTTGTGGAGACATTGGAAGAACTCAATAAAGATCGCATAGAGATCACTTCAATAGAGTCTGATCTTTGGAATGCACCCCCATCCCCATGGATCACAATGGGGCAAAATGTTTTGTAATCCTCTGCCATCAGTGGATTCCCTTCAAGTTTGGGATCTGAAAGATCTTGTCCCTCCCAAAAGTCTGCAAGCCCATTCAAGCCAGAGACAGCCTCTTTGTCACTCATCCAGGCCCACCACTCATGTGGCAAGAAAATGCCTACTTGCCTGGTGCCCAGAGCCCAGTCATCTGGGGTCCTCACCCTCACTGGCAAATCAATCACATAGGGCTCAGGGATGTCGATGTCATCTGATTGACAGTACTGCTTGGTGACTTGGCCTGCCACATGATTGGGATTCCTCCCAAAGTTCCCAAAGCTGGCCATGAGCTGAATGTCTGGCGCAGTTACTCCTGTCTTCACAGCTGCAAATGCTATTCTTTGCAGATCAGGTCCCTTAGCTGCACTGCCATGCCAAAAAATGCATGGCCCAGCCGAAAAGCAACATGACTTGCTTCCCAGCTGCAGACATGCCACTTGCAAATTGCTCCAGAAGGCAAAGCCCTAAGGGGCTGCGCTCTTCCTTGGGCACATCCACAACTTCAGTTGCTTTCTTTCTTTTCCATTTTGCCATGGCAGGCCCTTCCACAGGTCCTTGAGCCCTTTGTCCAGGGCACAATGAAACCCTTCCCACCTGGGTGCTTGAGCCTCCACAAAGAACACACTTAGAGCCCTACCAAACAAGCTGCACAACCTCTTGCAAAGGCGACCTTTTTCTCACTGCCACCTACCTGTTGCATTGTTGGGGGAACTGGGCCCTTTCTCAGGACACCTTGCAACCTTGTCAAATCATTGCCTTTACTGGGCCCTTTCTCAAGGCACCTTGGCATCTATTCACAACTTCTTGGCTGTTTTGATTGCCATAGCAGCATCAAACAGCTTGCCCTTGGCAGATTCTGCGTTCATCTTTGTTTTCAGGAGCTTCTTGAGGTCAGTCTCAGGGCCATGCAAGTGATCCTTCACTTTGCTTGTGCCCACCTCCTTCTTCACTGCTTGAAGCAGCTTCAGCATCTTCTCCACCCTTTTCTTGAGCTCACCTGCCACAGCACTGCTGCCCATATCACTCAAAACCTCAGCCTCAATCACTTGCTTGTCTTTCCCTTTGGATGCTTCAGCATCTTTCTTCTGCCGCTTGCTAGAGGATGCTGCATGCTCTGAGCTCTCAGAGTCAGATGGTGGAGGTGGCAGCAATGCTTTCATGTGCTTGCTGGCCTTCTGGGGCATGACATCTCTCAAGGCCTGGTCAGCTGACCCTTCCTCATTGCCAAGAAAGCCTTTGGCCTTGACTTTCATCCAATTGCACACCTCCATCTTGCCCACCTGCTCTGCAGCCACCTCATGCCTCTGCTCTGTAGCACTGTAGTCCACATTCTTGGCCAGGGCAAATTGCCATTCATCATCATCCAGAGGATCTTTTTGGACAAGAATGGTGCCCTTCTTGACCTGAAATCAAATGTGACCTGAAGTGAAATTTCCTTGCCAACATTCATCGCAAGCACAGATATAAATTCTGAGGAGGTGGCTCTGCGAAGTGTCTCTTGCAAGCCATATCTGTGCAATATGGTGGCAAAGGGCACCCATTCCAAGGATGACCTGTGGCCTACATGCAGGTGGAATCCATGAACTGTTGTCTCAAAGCCTCAAGCAAGAAAAACAGCTGCCTGAGGTCTGCTGCAAGGAGAGGACCTCCTTCTGCCAGGCTTGAGAATTCTTAAGCTCCCCTTTGGTTTGAAGGAACACCTTCAAAAGCTGCTTCTTGTGTTGGTCACTGTTTTTGCCTTTGCAGACAGTATTCCAAACTTCCTCCACTTTGGGGTCCTTGGTGGAGCCCCTGGCCCTTTCAAATTTCTTCCAGAGCGCTTCTCTCTGGTTCCTGGTAAGTGTGCCCAGGAAAGAGTTGAGGTCCTGAGTCTTTGACCTCTGGAACAACTCCATCTTTTCCTCCAAAGACATGGGCTCCTCAGGCTCTGGGTTGGCTGCAGGCCTCTTGTAAGGTGCAGCTGCCGGCTTTTTCAAGATTGTGATTTTCACCATGGCCCTTTCACAGGTCCAATCAGAAACCTTCTCAGGCCCTTTCACAGGTCCAATCAGAAACCTTGTCAGGTCCCAGACTCAAAAAGAATCAGCAAAAGCCTTTCTGCAGTTTGGCTTGTGAGCCAAAGTGGCAGGGTTGCAATCTGAGTCTTGCTGGCATCAACCTCACAAAAAAAATTGAGACCACTCCAAAAAGCATAAGTCATGTGACATCATATGATGTCATATGATGGTGGGGTGGTGTCATATGACATGTTTTTGTGTCATATGACATGTTTTTGTGTCATATGACATTTTTCTATGTCATATGACATCATGTGACTCCAT